ATGTCACTGTTACTGTTTAGACAAAGATATTGTGGACAGTATGCTCACATTTGGTTAGGATTCCCCTAAAGGAACTTCTGAGGTTCCTTACAACTTAGAGTTTCTGAAGGATTAGTTAGAAATAAGTCTTTAAAGTAGTCCATAATTGTAACCCATAAGAGTACAATTAACTCAACATACACTTTTTAAATAAACATTGTGTTAGTCCATTCTCCTGTTGCTATAAAGAAATACCAGAGACTGAGTAATTTATAAAGTAAAGAGGTTTAATTGGCTCACGGTTCTGCAGGTGTACAGGAAGCATGGTAGCATTGGCTTCTGGGGAGGCCTCAGGGAACTTTTACTCATGGCAGAAGGCAAAGCAAGAGCAGGCATCTTACATAACAGAAGCAGGAGGAAGGCAGAGGGAAGTGCTGCACCCTTTTAAACAACTGAATCCAATGAGAACTCACTATACAGTACCAAAGGGGGATCATGCTAAACCATTCATGAGAACTCTGCCCCCACCCATGATCCAGTCACCTCCCAGCAGGCCCCACCTTCAACACGGGGATTACAGTTCCACATGAGAGTTCAGTGGGGACACAGATCCAAACCATACAGTTCCACCTCTGGCCCCTCCAAATCTCGTGTCCTTCTCACATTGTAAAATACACTTATGCCTTTCCAACAGTACTCCAAAGTCTTTACTCATTCCAGCACTAACTCAAAAGTCCAAAGTCTCATCGGAGACAAGGCTAGTACCTTCCACCTATGAGCCTGTAAAGTCAAAAACAGATTAGTTACTTCTAAGATAAAATGGGGATATAGGCATTGGGTAAATACTCCCGTTCCAAAAAAGATAAATCAGGCAAAAGAAAGGGGCTACAAGTTCCATGCAAGTCTGAGACCTAGCAGGGCAGTCATTCATCCTTAAAGCTCCAAAATACTCCATGGGCACACTGATGCACAGGGTGGGTTCCCAAGTCCTTGGGCAGCTCAGCTCCTGTAGCTTTGCAGGGTTCATCTCCTAAGGCTGCTCTCATGGGCTGGCATTGAGTGCCTATGGCTTTTCCAGACACAAGGTGCAAGCTGCTGGTGACACTGTCATTCCAGGATCTGGAGGAGAGTGGCCCTCTTCTCGCAGCTGCACTAGGCAGTGCCCCAATGGGGGCTCTGTGTTGGGGATCCGACCCCACATTTCCCCTCTGTGCTGCCCTGGTAAAGGTTCTCCATGAGGGCTCTGCTCCTGCAGCAGGCTTCTGCCTGGACATTCAGGTTTTTCCATATATCCTCTGAAATCCAGGTGGAAGTTCCCAAGCTTCAACTCTTGCATTCTGTGCACCTGCACGCTAAACACCACATAGGAGACACCAAGGCTTATGGCCTGCACCCTCTTAAGCAGTATCCTGAACTGTACTTGGACCAATTTTAGCTACAGCTGGAGCTGCTAGGGTGCAGGGAGCAGTGTCCTGAGGCTGCACAGGGCAGCAGGGCCCTGGGCATAGCCCACAAAACCACCCTTTCCTCTTAGGCCTCTGAGCCTGTATTGGGAGGGGCTACCTGGAAGGTCTCTGAAATGCCTTCAAGGCATTTTCCCCATTGTCTTGAATATCAGCACTTGCTTTCCTTTTCGGTGTGCAAATTTCTCCAGCCTGCTTGAATTGCTCTCCTGTAAATGGACTTTTCTTTTCTACCACATGGCCAGGCTGCACATTTTCCAAACTTCTATGCTCTGCTTCCCTTTTAAATATAAGTTCTACTTTCAGGTCATGTCTTTGCTCATGCATATGAGATAGGCTTTTAGAAGCAGCCGGGTGACTTCTTAAACATTTTACTTCCACTAGATACCCTAAATTCTCTGTCAAGTTCAGAGTTCCACAGATACCTAGGGCAGGGGCACAATCCAGCCAAGCTCTTTGCCAAGGTTTAACAAAAGTGACTTTTACTCCAGTTCCTGGTAAGTTCCTCATTTCCATCTGAGACCTCCTCAGCCTGGCCTTTACTCTCCATATCACTATCAGCATTTTAGTTACAACCATTCAACAAGTCTCTAGGAAGTTCCAAATTTTCCCTCATCTTCCAGTCTTCTGAGCCCTTCCCATTCTTCCAACCTCTGCCCATTAGCCAGTTCCAAAGCTGCCTCCATATTTTCAAGTATCTTTCTTATTCCATTCTCGCATTGCTATAAAGAAATACATGAAACTGGGTAATTTCTAAAGAAAAGAGGTCTGATTGTCTCATGGTTCTGCAGGCTGTACAGGAAGCATGGCAGAATCTGCTTTGGTGGAGGCCTCATGGTGGAAGGCAAAGAGGGAGTGGGAGCAGGAGGAAGGGCCGGTGGGGGGGGTGTTGCTACACACTTTTAAACAACCAGATCTCATGAGAACTCTACCACAAGACAACATCAAGGAGATGATGCTAAATCATTCATGAAGTATCCACCCCCATGACCCAGTCATCTCCCACAGACTCTACCTCCAACATTGGTGAACACAATTTGACATGAGATTTGGGTGGGGACAGATCCAAACCATATTAGACATGTTTTCAATAGGCTTTAGGATACAAAGATAAATAAGATATGAATAAACTCAACTCAGTCAAGTATGGTCCATTTCAGTTTTTCTGGCTTTTCCATTCTCTAGATACATAAAGGTAAACCAGTCATACCTCCTCCTCGTGACCCCATGGTCTACAGGGGATACTGTCAGGTATACATGTTTCATTACATTACAGCTGAAGAGCAAAGAGTGAGGACAGGGAAAGCTTCACAAAAAAAGTGATGACTGGTCCAAGTTTGTCACCAACATGCTCTGTGACTTTCCATGCTGGATCATGTGGGACAAGGCAGGACCTTCTCTGGGACATGGTTCATAACATCTTATATACAAAATAGCCAGGGCTAGAGTCCCAGCTGCTCCAAAATTCCATGATTCTAATATGGTGATACTTGTTTTTCCCATCAAAATGTTTTAAGAAAATAGTCCAAATTTTAAAATATGGTAAAAAAAAAGTTTTATCTAAGTCTAATCTTAATGGATATCCTTTCAAATTAAGTTTTTGCTAATGAATTTCCTGGAACAACTTGTTCCATTAGTCTGGTTACTTAATGTCTTTATGTAATGTTTATTTGAAATATTATGCACATTATAAACTTTTGCATTAATTAGTATGATACCCAGTGTATGACATTATTATTATTTCAGGAAGCATTCTTTTTAATTTCACTTTAGATCACCCCTGTGATTTTAATTCCTGTATTTCTTTTGAAGGGAAATAGCTTTATCAAATAGGATTTTAGATTTTTAATTTTGTACTGCTTGAGCATATAAAGATTGCTTTTAGAAGTAAAATTTTAGTGAACTTGAAATTCTCAAAGAATCACTGAGATTTGAGAAGTGAGAGGAATGATCCAGTGCACCAGAGAAAAATATTAATTAGGGCTGGATTTAATTACCACTGTAGATTTATTGGTGCAAGAATTTCGACAAGTTTTTATTGACTTTAAATAAAATTCATAGCCATTTAATAAGCTAAAAAAAGTATAATATTTGACCCCCCAATAATAGATGTTCAAACCATAAACATGGTTTTGCAAAGAAAATTATTAAAATCATTATTTAGAAAAAACTTTAGAATTGTGTTATTTTCTCTTGTATCATAGTCAGCTCCATAAACTTTTCTGAGTTATGTGCTTGCATTTTACGGAAATAGTTTTATCATTTGTAAAATTCCACAACTGAGTTTTGTTTTCATCAATATTTACATTGAGGTACTGTTAGGAGCTACAAAGTGGAATTACACTGTTGTTTATCTGGAAGCTCAAAAATGTTGAGATCATCTTTATTAGAATTTCTTTCATCTGCAGCTGTGTACTAGTTGAAAAAACTGATGGAAGCTGAAAGATGGGATTAACTACCACCCTACTGCTTAGTGTGTGTTAATCCTACTGACACGACTTCCACCCCTTTAAAATAGGGGATGAGAGCTACTTCGTAGAGCTCTTGTTAGAAAAAAGTGATTTAATATTGGTGTCTGGCATATAGAAAGAACTTAATAAAGATGATAGTTTTTGTTTTTTTGACGTCTAAGAAGATTTAATTAACTTTCCTCAGTGGAAACTCTATCATTTTAGCAATACAATAATGTCTTAGCCATGAAATTTGGCATGTGTAATTAATGTAAAAATTATTGAGGTATTTTACATTGTATTTTTTGTGTTAAATTTTCAGCATCTTGTGTGTATTTTACACTTACAGCACATCTCAACCTGACTAGCCATATTTCAACTATCCGCCACTTGGCCAATGACTGCAGCATTGGATAACAAAGATCTAGCCATATTTTGGGTAATTAATAAATGGCTATCCCAAGGCAAACTTTCAAAAAATAATTTTTCTTTCCAACAGACTACCATGGCTGCAGGAGTCTTGCCTCAGAATGAACAGCCATACTCTACCTTCATAAATAACAGCAAGTGTGTTGCAAACATGAAAGGTAATATCTCTTTAATACACTTTTTGTCTCTCTGTGCAAGCTAGCATTTAATAAAAGTAGCTATATGAATGGACACAAAAGAAAAGGCTCTCTTCTTCATTTTGGCCAAGATGATAAAGCAGTAAGTAATACATGCAACTTGGGATTCTAATATGAAGAAGAGAGCCCTACTTCTCCCAGTGTTTTTTCTCTCATGCTGTTTTGCTTTTTAATGATACCCCAGGCAAGGACAAGTGTCATGACTTGAACTCTGACTACCACATTTGCCCTTTACTCTTCCTGACCATCACAAGCTCTGAGCTGGGAGCCTTCCTGCTTCTACTTTCATGTTGCTGGTCTTGCTGCCACCACCGGCAGTTAACCAAGAGAGATGTTAAGTAATTTCTCTTGGCAGTACCACTTGCAGTATTTTCTAACTGCCCCCTTGGGGCTTTGCCGACATTCACTTTAGTCCTACTGTATAGAGAACTTTGAAGGATTTCTCCCCCAAGTATAGATTTGATGATAGGAGGAAGAGTAAAGGAGTAAGGGTCTAACTAAAGGTATTGAGTTCAACACTTGCTAGAACAAGTCAGTTCTGTTGTGTTCTTGTTGGAATCTGACCACTCCACCAGGGGGCGTTCTCTCTCATCAAGAAAATCATTGTTTCCCACTTCTCATCTTGTCCAAACTCCATATCCTTGTAGATCCTCCTTCATCCGTCTTTGCTGTGTTTCGCCCTAGAGGCACTAATACTACTGGTAACTACCATTTGTGGACAGCTTCTAGGTGCCAGACTTAATGTGTTAGTTTCCCTGGTCTTAGAAAGAAGTATTGTCTAAAACAAACGCAAGAATGATGTCTACTGGCTGCTTCCCTTCTAGAATAATGTTTCCTTCCCCCTGAGTAACTCTTCATCCAACAAGTCTGAGTCAGATGAACCTTTTTCCCTTTTCTTTCTTCTGTTGTAAATGTTACCTCTTAGTTGGTGTTTCTCAATGGCAATTCTGTTGTCTTTGGGGGTGGGACAACTCTTTGTTGTACTGGAGAACTCTGAGCAAGCATCTCTGCCCCCTCCCACTAAATCCAGTAGCATCCCCAGGTTCCAGTGATAATGAAAAAACCTGGCATGTTTCCAAACACCCCCAGGAAGGTCGCACCACCTCTATTGCGATCCATTAGGTATGCTGACTTTTACCTTTCCAAAAAACATCTTTTTAGTTAAAATTTTCCTCTTAGTATAAATGCAGCTAATTTTTAGTTAGGAAAAAATCTAGACAAATAACATTTGCTTTATAGCTAATTTTAGTAAAGCATATCTCATCTATAAAGATAGTTATACTTTATTATGTTTGTGGATGGGAAGTATTTTTTTAAATGTTATATAGTGAATCATGGGAAAATGTAATTGGGGGATACATAAATAAAGTATTTATTTTTAAAGGAAAATAGAAAACTTATCAAGAAGTAGCTGTGGAGTGAGACAGACCTAGAGTTAAATCTTGATTCTACTACTTAAAAAAA